GGGATAGTAAATAATAAAATAACAGATGGAACGCAATAAAATGCAAAGTGAAATGGGAAGTTAGAAATTGTGTTTTCACTTATCGATATAGTTGTCACTGCAATATGAAAAGCCATCTAGGCCAAATGCGTGCCATGTCACATTTAAAATGCAATCTCTCTTTGAACTTTATAATCCTAGCGAGTGATTACGGCGAGCGAAAAAAAATGAGATCGGATTCGAAAAATCAATTTCACTTCAATTGTGAAGCCAACTTTGGTTGCCAGGGGGTGGTGAAAAAAAGACGACAACTTATTTGAATAAAAGGAAAATCATTTCGAATCGCGAGTTATTATTCTGTGTCTGCGAGCAAACTCATTCCTTTTCAATACTTCAATGCAACGAAATTGATCCGCTTGCTTTTTAAGCTACTTTTTTCCCTTTCGATATTAATGAAAACAAATCTCGTCGTTCATTCGTCGGCGATGACGGTGGCTGAAGTTGACATTATGCAACCGATATGGCTGCGTTTTTTTTTTATTATGTATGTCTGCGTTACAGACCCTCGTATTCGCATCAAAACGCATTTCATTTATGTAACCGATAGCTGAAATTATACCTTTTCAGGCACTCTATATATTGTGTATGTCTACTTATGGTCGCCCTTTGTTTTCCCGTCAGCCATTATGACTTCTAAACGTGAGCTCGCAATTACACACGACGACGTACAATAATTTACACAAATCCCCCAATCGCATGCACACAAAACGTGTATTCATTAATAATCAGTCTCTGGAGTACACATACACACGCACACACTTAACATGTGAATACCTCGACCCGATTCATTATACAATATATCAATCAACGCATTCTAAACATGGATGGGATTTCATTTTGCCACACGGTTCATTGCATATATATATGCGTTTGCAACACACGAGACATTCCCTCTCCACTGGCATTGGTGTGCGTTTAATTAAAATCACCAAACGCTACAAAATTAAATGGGCGATTAAGAGGCCATGTCATCCATCCAAATATTGACAACCGAAACCGAATTTTGAACAAACATTTTGAGAATAGGTTACATTGAAAGTATTGGGTGTTGTTGTTGTTGTTGTGCGAATTTTAAAAACACGATGTTTGCAACAATGGTACTATGAGGTAAACGACACAATTTCATCAATGCACACAAAAATCACTTAAATCGCTTTTTATGTCACATCGACGCAGTTTATTTACTGCATTCAGGTTTAAACGAGCAAATTAATTATTGATTTTGAACAATGAAAAGGGAAATTATGATATTTTTTGAAGGGAATTTCACTGTGCTGTCTCTCTTTGCCTCTTTATCTCTTCTTTTCAATCACTCTTTCTTTCATTCTTCTCTCTTTCTCCCTCTCTTCTTCTTCTTCTTCTTCTCTCTCTCTCTCTATCTCTCTCTCTCTCTTAAAATATGAAAAAAGATGAAACTGGCAGAACGAGTAGAGTCATGCCTAAGCTCCATAATTCCAAATCAGTGTTATTACCTTGAAAATGGTCACTTTCGGCAATGTTGATCTACACGTTAAAAAAACCTGCTCTAAAGGACTTCACTATTTTAAAACTCTGTATTTGACTTCAAAAACTTCTAAAAATGTTAATTTTTGTTTGAAAAAATGCGATTTTTCAACAAAAACATTTTTTTTTTTTCAAAGATTGAAGTTTAAACGTGAGTTTAGATACCAAAGTCGTAAACAACGTGTTTGACCGAAAAATAGTAATACTTTCCAAAAGTCAAAGTTCAAATATCTCAAAAATCGAATTTTTCTACATTACTTTCGACGTTTAGTCTTCGAAAATGCCTTCATGTGCTTCAACTCACATTTTTCATAAAATAATTTCCTCAAAGATACGATGACATTATAAAAGAATCGCAAGTTAACAAACTTCCTTTGGTTCAAGTGAATTTAATCGAATTTCCTGGATAAAGTCATTGCACGGTAAGTATATGTGTATGAAGTGCAACATTTAAGTGAAATTCCATTTTGAAGCGGACATTTATTTATTAATAAAATAATAATGATTGTGTTCCTTGTTTGTTGTCTCAATTGATGTTGTTACACACACAACATACGATACGCATTGAATCCCTGCGGCAATGCATTGCTCCAAAAATTGAATGACATTGAAGTTAGTATGGGCAAATTGAATTTTTGCTATGCTTTGTGTGGAAAGGTATGGCTGTCGTCACTGCAAGCGACATTTTCATTGACATGTTATGCTCGGAAAATAATAAGGGATAACAGTGTGTTCGTCATGGAGATATAAACACAAAATCCCAATTTGGACGCGCTGCTATGACAACCTATCAATTACAAAAATACATAAAGCCGGCGCTGACGGCAGTATATAACATCCATCTTGCACGCCGAAATGAAACACGTGAAAATTTGTTCGCAAGTATGCTCACCGAATAATAAACTGACAAAAACATGCAATGCATCATCGAGAATGATTGACTTTGGCGAACACATTTACGGAGAGATTTTACATTGCCCACATTTTTTTTGCTGCTGAAAATTGCTTTTGCCAAGAAAATTGGTTATCAAGAAGAATGTTTTTGTGAGTTGACAGAAATTGGAGGAATTGAGTGAAAATGATGAGACATTGGCGAAAAGTGATTCAAGGTATAGAAAATAGCTTTGTGAGCAAATAAAAAAGATCGGTTTTGCAAGTCAGTTCGATAAAAATGACACGAATAACACTTTTTCCGACGGTCGAAATTTTTTTTTAGTTACGCCCAACTCTCCAGCTTTCAACAAACTCAGATGGGCAACATGTTGTTCTACATTTGTTTGTAGCTGTGAATTATGCGCTTGAAAGTGTGAAAAAAGCGTTGATTTTCATCCAATTTGTGATTATTAAAAAAACCTGAAAAAAAATCTGTTAAAACGAGTAATATGGTAACCAAATCATTTTTAATCGGTTTCGTTTATCAAGTCGCTTCCTATACAAAATAGTAAACACCGACTGCCCACTCACTTTTTGTATAGCAAAACGTCTTGACCGTGTGCGAAACAGATGTTTTCACGATTATACATACACTTATCATATTACCATGCGATGCGAATCATCAGATTAATGACAGATAAAACACAAATCTCTGCTTTATATTTACATTTTACACTCACACACATTTCGAACAACTTTCATTTTTGTCTGTGTTTTTGGAGCTGTTTTCGTAATAGGTAGGTATGCGAATTACGCGTAGAATTTTGAGGCAATACAGATGTTCTTTGAATGAAGTAAATTCGCATCTATCAATCAGGGGATAGTCACTATGAATTTTTCTGAAATTTTCAGTATTTTCGACGAAATTTTCAGTTTAATGGAGCATATTCACAAAAAGGAGGATGCCTGCCACTACTGCTGCTCGATTTGAATCTAAAACTTGCTGAAGCATACTTGAATACTTACTTGCTTCCACGTACGCAGGAGATATGAGTAAAGGAAAGGATGTGATAGATACTTGGATTCACCAAAATGTTTTTTTGTGAATTTAAATTTAATTCACATAATAATACAAAACAATGTTTAATTTCAACCCGGAACTAACTTTGTTCGCTTAAAAATAAATCGAAAAGTGAATGTCTTCTCTTTAGTTTGAAAGATTCCAATTTGATTAGATTGGAATGGAAATAATACAAAATGTGCTTTGATTTAAAAGATCACTCACCGTTAGTAAAAGAGGCCTAAAACTAATCCGAACGAATTTTTTTAAAGATATTTTGCTGTGCAAAATGTGAAACAACTGTTTGAAAGCAAAAACGAAAACAAACTGAGTGAAACGACATAAGATTGTTTACTGGATCAATTAAAAACCAGTTTAACCGACTTGCCTCACCACATCTTTGTTTGTCTACGATCGTTCATTGTACGTATTTTGTCTATGCCGTTGCGACGAATGTCGTCATCAGAGTAAATCACCAATAAAATAGGCGAATTTATGGCTCCACACAAGTCAGAATAAATTACTTTGGTAGAATCAACTTTAATATGGATTCAATGTTTAAATTCATTTTTCGTTCATTTCGTCCATACAAAAAATAACATTCGAAGAGTTTGGAGAAATTTCAACCAAAATTAAGGTACCCCCAATTTTGATTGAAATCTCTTCAAACTTTCAGAATGTTATTTTTTTTTGTGTAAAAAATAGCATGTGCAAAGTTTCACGTCATTAAGCTAGCATACAGGCATGGCTACCATACAAAAATTCAATTTTTTGTGATTTTTTCAACGAACCCCCCAATACATATTTTTGAGTGTTCTACATTAAGTATGACTTTTGGACGAAAAATTGACTCTTTTTCACTCCAGGCATGAAATCTTTTTCCATCAACCAAAGACGCTCAAAATCTAATGATTTCTATTCCTCGGGACCCCCAATCATCCTGTACAGTCAGATTTTAAATAACTTTTTTGAGATAATCGAAGGACAAATTTTACGTACGACGGACAATGTACCACGTGGAACTGACCCAACCATTCTCAAAACGGCCTGATGAACCCGTTCTCTGACCTCAGAAACGTCCAGAAAACATGTTTTTGAGATGTCGTAAATTTTGTCCCATTGCAATACTTTCCCCTTACGTGTGTGCGGAAAAGTAAAAAAAAACCTATGCAAATTTTTACGTCATTAAGGTAGCATACAGGCATGGCCCCCATACAAAAATGCAAATTTTTTGTGATTTTTGTATGAAAAGTGTTTCATACATAATTTTTATGGCAAAATTAACGTCAGACATATTTTTTATAGTATTTTGTTAGAAAATAGAATGCTTCCAAATGTCGTATAAATTGGTTCATCATGAAAGTGTAAAAAAAAATTTGCGAGTACTTCTGCTATTAAATAAAAGAATATTTCGATGCCAAAGTTTGAACATATTTTTTGGTCTCGAACTTTATGCCGCTTGAAAGGCTTGAAAAATCGAACAAATATTATTTTGAACTTGCTTAATAAAATACGCATCTACCACCGTGCGGAAAAGTTCGTCTTACTCCCCTAAGACTCTTTATTCTGAAAACGGTTTTAATTCAGGGAAAAAGTCAAACAAATTATTCATGCGAATCTTTTATTTTACTAACTAAGAATCTGAAGGAGTACCGAGTGGCAAAGGTGGCAAATAGTTTCCGCAAATTGGAAAATTGTCCGGTCGTTGAACCATATCTGATTTTTCGCCTACTTTAATAATGGCCATCATCCCGGTGTTTACGTGGAATTGATCGTGACAGTGGAGAAACCAATAGCCTGACATTAATATAATATACAAGTTATTATTAACTATTATTTGTAAATTAATAATACACATTATTTAATATACCCGGGTTACATGATCTAAATCTTAATCGAACGAATCCTTTATGTGGAACGCTTACGGTGTCCTTGAGTGGTGGTAAATGCTCAGAATTTACGAATGCTGTTTGACCATTTCGATATTGTTCCATGGTTCCCATGTCAAGCACTTGGAATCCGTAGCCATGCAAATGAATCGGATGATATACGGGTACATTTATATTATCTGATTGAAAAAGGAATTAATATGAATGAATAATTTCATCAAATGGCTTCCAGAGTTCTTACGGTGGCCGTCAAACACGAAAAACTCATAGATTTTGCAAAGATCCAGTGGAATTGAATGAATGCAATGGCAAGTATTTTGACTGTCACAGTTTGATGGTAAATGGTCAGCATTACAATAGTCAAGAGAAGAATCGTCTTGAGTTAGTACCGGTACCGGTGGATGCGTGCTCGAGATATTATTTATCATTGATACCGAAAACGAGTCATTAAAAGCTAAATATTTAGGGAAAATCGATTGGAGTAATCGGTGAAGTTAATTTATGTTATTGAAGATGCTTACCTGCCAATCGTTTTGTATCATAATCGACTCGTAATTCAAATTCAAAGCGTTTTTCGATTTCTTCATGCCTTAAGTTTTCCGCAGATGCATTTGGTTTCGGCTTTTGGTGTAAAGCAGTAATGCATATGCTACTCGAATTTGAGTCGGCGCAATTCATTTCCGGATGATTCAAGTACTGGAAAGGAACAGATACAATATTGTTTTCACTTGTAAGGGTTCGATTCTCGATAAACTCACAGATGCCGTTGGATCTTCTAGAGATTTATAGGTTGGTCTTTCAATTAATGGTTCTCGATCTCTATGGTGTGCTGTATAATTATTCAAATTATCCACGGAAATGATTCTAGCAAATTCTTGAAGTTGTAAGTCTAATGTTAAACAATATCCAAGTGCACGTACTCGGATTAAAGTCTCTTCTGCAAAAAAAAAAGATTTTTTTTAAATAAAAAACCAAATCGATTCGTAAAAGTCTAAACTCACTCGTAAATGAATCGTTTGTTGCTTCCATAACAACATCATATCGTTCACCTGAATGGGAAACCACACGATCCACAACGACTGGATCAATCGAATAACCGTCTGTCGCTATCACCGTCAATCGATGATTTTCAATCTAAAATTATCATTTTAAATCAGAATAGAGCTACAATTAACAGCTGCTGCAAAGTCTAAATTAAAAATACTAACACTGAATTCAAATGGGCAATTGTGTGATGCAGTATTGTCAATGCGGAAAACATGCCGTTTGCCTCTTTCAACATAAAACACTTCCATTGGTGCAAATGTAAAATTTCCGGTTTCTCTATCCATAAAACTTCCTCGTCCATTTATTAGAATACTTTCTGTTTTCATTCTATAAGCTCGGCGTCCTGGCATATTTTCTTCGGCCAAAAAATTATTCCAATCAGACAATAAAATCGAGTGTTCAGCTCTATCGTAATCGTAATATTCTGCATTCGGATCATTTTGTTGGCGAACATTTAATGCACCAAAAATGCCATTGCTTCTATGAAGACCGGAATGTGCGTGATAGTAATGTGTGCCAGATTCGCGTACATGGAAATCATAGCGAAATGTATTTCCCGAAGCAATTGGACACTGTGTTACCATTGGCACACCATCCATCCAGGGTGTTTCCTTTTGATGAATTCCATGCCAATGAATTGTCAATTCGGATCCGTGCAAACGATTTTCTACGTCGATTATAAGACGATCATTTTTGCAAACATTGATTGGTGTTCCGGGCAATTGACGATTTACTGTCATCATATTACGTTCAACACCATTTGCCGTTACGCAACCGACATTGAAACAATCGTCTAGTTTGCCATTCACACACTCGCAACTCATTGTTTCATAGACTTCCACCTTAAAGTGGAAATAACAAATTTTAGGTGTTCCATCACATTTGCGATAACAACTCCGGCCATTTTCGATCATTGGATTAGCTGAGAGCAAATAACAAATATAAAATATGTTACTATGATTGGACAGCAAAAAATCGTGCTTACATACCCTGGTCGAATTTTCGATGTAGTCCATTTTTACTATTAGTTGTGTTGATTGTAATCGACGATGGAATGTAACATAGCAAAACGATTATGAGAATATGCCAGTCTCTTATGAGGTACTGCATCTTTACTATTTTTCGATTTATTTGGAACAAATTAAATTAAATTAGATTAAAAAAATTAGTTAATAGAAAAACTCAAGTTTCCAATATTCGATTTATCGGACAATTTTTTATCAAAAATTAAACTGAACATCTATCTGCTTGAAGGAAGAACTTGATATTAAAATATAAATTTATCGAATGTTCACATTTTAAACTAAAGACATGAATGTTGAACTTTTTTAACTGGTTTTTTCTTACAGTTCTTTTACTTTTCCGCACACACCTAGTGTGTTAGGTAAAGTATTGGAATCGGCCGAAAAATTAACATCCCTCAAAAACATGTTTTCTGGGTGTTTTTGAGGTCAGGGAACACGAATCAGTCGTTTTTTCGATGTCCGAATGTATGTGCGTACGCTGTACGCGTAAATTTGTTAACACGTTAACTTTCAACCAAGAAAAGTAATTCAAAATCATACTTCACAGGATCCCGAGGAATAGAAACCATTAGGTTTTGAGCGACTTTAGTTGATAGAGTGAAGTGTCATGTCTGGTTGTCTATCGTGTGCTTCAAAAAATATTTCAAGTTGTTATGTGTTTTAAATTCAATCTTTGTTTGCTTATTCACACTGTAGAAACAATTTTTAAATTAATTTATTTTGTATTATAATAAACTTTAATAATTTCTATCATCTTTGAAGCATAGATGCAAAGCATAGAAGCAAATTTCTTTAAATTTGGTGAGATTATTTATTTTGACAAGGTACTGGTAGCGAATTTCGAAAATTATTTTTGTTTGTAGTAATTTAATCATCGTGAAAGCGTGTGAATCTTATTTTCTGGCCAAAATAATTTCACCAAATTTAAAGAAATTTTAACGCGAATAAAGGGTACCAGCGGTACCTCCATACAAAAATCCAAGTTTTTGGTGACTTTTGTATGAAAAAAGTATCGAATATTATTTGTATCGCAAAACTAACGTCATATTCGGATTCATCGTGCCAGAAAATCCCCCAGAACATATTTTTACAACGGAGCAAGACATTTTTTGTGAATTTTAAAAGTTGTCAAAATTCATCAAAATTCGAAAAAAAAAATGTAAATCGCCTAGGCCTGGTGTGGTGTGAAAATTCAATTTTTTTCAAATTCGTTACCATAATCGTGTTGCTATGACCATTCTCAAGAGATTATGAGGGTACTCTTTTTGATTATCAAAAAAGGAGTCAAAATTGAACCACTCTATGGCTAGTCTCTGTTGACACGTAACATAAAAATAAGCACACGCGTGAATAACCCAATTTAACAAAAACAAATACAACAAAAGATGTGAATTAATACTTTTCTGTAAATTAAAGTTGTGCCGAATGGTATAGCTGCAAGGTTGTTACCATTAAAATAAAAATGTTTTTAAATTTTTCTATACGAATCCAAAAAAGATAATGTAATTAAAGTATCAAATTTGCATCGAATAATATTATTTTTTTCTTACTTTCAAGAAATTTTTACAAATTTTTTTCGTTTTTTTTATCGACGCATTTTTGACAGCCAATTTTCCCAATTTTGACAAGCAAACGCTCCATTTTTGACAGCCAATTCCTCATTTTTGGAGATAATTTTTCCATTTTTGTCAGCCATTTAGCATGTTTGACACAAGTTAAATTAAGGAATGTTTCGATTCCAAAGTTTGAACATATTTTTTGGACTCGAACTTTACGCCGCTTGAAAGGCTTGAAAAATCGAATAAATATTATTTTGAACTAACTTTATAGAATACGCATCCACCATCGTGCGGAAAAGTTCGTCTTACTCCTGTAAGACTCTTTCTTTAAACTACGTTCACATGTTGTATTTCAAATGTGCTGACGAAGGCAAACAACGATAGTGAAATAACACAAATGGCGAAAAAACTGATTTTTTATGTTTGTATGAGTCTAGCCAGTAGTATCATTATTATGTCTATTATCACTATTATGTCTAGTATCATTTTTTATAAAAGGTGGCAAAACAGGTGATGTAAAATGTCAATCTGAGATTCGTCAGCTAGATCATTTTGTTAGGTTGTCAAACTTGAGTTTGAGAAACTGCAAGTTATCCGCTATCTAAATAACCACATAACTATTAACAATTAGATTATCCCAAAATAAATAAAGAGGCTTACGTACGCAAGCTGACTTTTCCGCATGGAACCGAAATTTTGGGAATAAACTGAAATTATGTTCTATGTATGGTTGCAGTAACTTAAATTACCGTGAAAACTTGTGAATATTATTTTCTTATCAAAATAAATAATCACATCAAGTTTAAAGAAATTTCGATCAAACAAAGTGCCTGTTCAAAGTGTCACATCATTACGGTACCACAAAGGCAAGTCTTTCATACAAAAATGAAATTTTTTGTGGATTTTTGTATGAAAAGTCTGTGAAAAGTTGATTGCATCTTAAAACAAACATAAGATTCGGGTTTCCCGTGCCAAAAACACATTCTTTCAGCGTTCAAATTGAAAGAATATCATTTTAAGGCATTTTTCTCATAAGTGCCTCTTCAGAGTCTAAGTTTTACATCGATCAATCAATGTCATTGAAAATTTGACCAGATCTATTCCTCGTAATGCCCAATCATCCCGTAAAGTCAGATTTTGAATTTCATGTCTGAGCACGAAACCATCGTGTCACCAAAATGGTTGAAAAATGGTCAAAAAAGTAAAATGTATGGATAATTTGGGTACTCTATTCGGACCAAAAAAAATTACACCGGTCGACAGATATTGCTCAAAAACTAATCAGCACGTCTCCTGGTAGTCCCAAATCATCCTGCAAAGTCAGAATTTGAATTGACTGAGTTTTTGGAAAAAGATTTATCGAGTTAACAAATTTTGGCAACACGCCACAGGACAAAGGACACAGGGCACAGGACACATCACACATCACACACAGCGACGCACATTAATATGCCCCAAAATCATCTCCAATCGTGTTTTCTACATTAAATATGCATAGAAAACATGTTTTGGGATGACTCAAATTTTTTGGCCTAATACAATACCTTTCCTACAGTAGGTGTGCGGAAAAGTAAAAATGAGTGAATACTGAATAGAAACACTCAAATTTCCCACATTCGATTTATAGAAGAAATTTATCAAAAATTAAACTGGACATCTATCTGCTTGAAGGAAGAACTTGATACTAGATTAGATTTCATTTATTCAGTTTGTTCGGTTCTGGTTTTTTCGGTTTATTACTTTTCCGTTCATCCACTGTGTGCAGTATTGTAATCACCTCAAAATTTTGAAATCGCAAAAAAATCATTTTTCTACAAATTTGAAAAAACCGAATCTGAGTCAGACGTTAATTTTGAGATAAAATCACAATGAAAATTTACTACATAACTTCACCTTTGGAGAAATTTCAATCACAAAAATCTCCTCATACAAAAATCTCGATTTTCGGTTCAAAAATGAAAATTTTGTATGGGAGTTCCCCTCAATTTGTATTGAAATTTCTTCAAATTTTCAAAATGTTGAACTTGGTAGCTATTGAAATATTTTGGAAAATGAATATTCGTTCGTTAAAGAAATTTGGAGACAGTGTGGAAAAGTTAAACTCACGGATGTAAGTTCCTTCTTATTTTTTCGTCTACAACTATTTTTAAATCCAACACATCTCGATTTATTATATTTTTACGAATCAAATTGTAAACCGCTAAAATGGTTTTCATCTTAGCTTCTCTTTTTCGTTAAAATGAGAAATTCGCACACATGCGTGCAAAAATCTATTTTTAAATCTCACAAACCAATTCTCTTAATATAAAAAAAGATAATGCCCATCTTAATTCCGTACCAAAATTGAAATATTTTTGGATTTGACGTTATTGTTTATTTATTCACGTTGATAGAGCGCTTCACATATTTTATTTTAATTCCATTGAGCGTCGTCCACCAAATATAAAATCATTGTCACCATAAAAGTACTATTCATAAATTCAGCGACTGTCCACATTCTAAACTGACACGGATGTTGAACTTTTTCAAATGGTTTTTTTCGGACGCTTTTTTTTCGCATAGAAAAAGAAAAAATCTAATTTTTATTATAATCTTGAATAATTTGGAGATTGAGATTCTTTTGTTTAATCCTTCTATTTCAATATGTTGAATATGCCAAGATTGTTCAATTTATTCAAAGAATTTTAAATTTTTAAATTGCGTGTTGTATTTCAAATAGGCTGACGAAAGCGAAACCACACAAATGGCAAAAAACGTGGATTTTTTATGTTTGTATGAATCGAGCCATTGTATTATCAGCATTTAAAAAAGGTGACATGAAACAAATCTTTTAAATATAATCCCAAATAATTTGGAGATTGAGATTCTTTTCTTCATTTCTTCTATTTTAATATGCTAAATATGCCATCGTTGTTAGATCTATTCTACGAATTTAATTCATTTTTAAACTACGTTCACACAAAGAAAGTGAAACCACACAAAAGGCGAAAAACTGGATTTTTTTATAATTCAACACCAGAATAATTTAAACGCAAACCATCATATCACACCATTGTATTATCATGATTTATAAAATGTGAATAATAAGTTATTATGAATAACACAATAGGTAAAATAACGGAAATATCATAAAAAATAGATTAAATGTAATATCTTCCATTCATGTGAGCATCGATGGCAATTAAATAGATATGAACGCTACAGGCGGATTTGATAGAAAAATTCTATACATGGAGTTCAAAACTTACATGGGCATTAATTTTTACACATTTCAAAGAAATTTGATTAGAAATGTGTAGCAAAAACCGAAGAAGATAATAGAAAAAAATTGCGTAAAGAAACAACTCTCGAAAAAAAGGTTCAGTTACCTTGAGGCAACAATACAAAATTGCAAAGTCGGTCTTTTGTTTGAACAGCTTTAATGCGCCTATTGCAAGGCATTTAACTTGAGTAGTATCTATTCACATCAATTTCAAATTGCAATCGTCACTAGAGGCTCTTTCATTCAATTCATAATGGAGAGCAAAAATCTCCTGAACCATCATTTTATCCGGCATGTAAATTCCCGTCTAAATTCTCATGAATAGAACGTAACGATTTAATCAAAAGACTCATTACTTGTCATTGAAACGGCGA